AAAAAAAAAAAACAAAATTCAGAACGGGACACGAAAAAAAATATCGGATCGGATTTAGCAACACAACCGCCCCATACAAGACTTCATTTTAGTTTTCGCGCAAAAGCTATTTTAACCCGGAATACAAAAAGCAGTAATCAATACATATATAAAATGGATTAATCCCGTAATATTAAATTTACTGAAAATGAAATTTCAGTAGGTCCTATTAGCAAGACTAACCTGTCAATAGCAATTTTAACACTTGGCCTCGGCGGCATTTCGTGTCGCCGATTGTAGCGTTCCCTTTCCCTCTGATAAAACTTCCAGTAGCGCTCCTCCTCTTCGCGCCTCATCTTTTCATATTCTTCTGCACGACGGCGCATTTCCTCAAACACCTAAAAGTTGAGAATATTTTCAAGCACCGAAACATGGTCTGCGGCTCGTCAGAAATTTAGTACTACGATTACACGAACTCTTCGAATAGAATTCCCACCACCGGTGGGTGAGATTCAGGCACTGTCTGGATAGAGCTAACCCTGAACTACTTCTCCTCTTGTAATGCTTTCCTCCACTAATCACTAAACACAGTGTTGGCCATTTACCTCACCAACTGGCTGGAATCCCATTTCGACAATGATTCTGCTTAAGTTTCTTGAAGTCCATGTTCCTCTTTATTCTCCCAATGAATTTGATAGAGCATCCTGAATATTCTCCAAGTTTCATTGTATTTTAAGAATAACAGACAACTATGCATTCATGGTGGCTGGTGCAATCGTGAGTTTTGTGCAGCTCTGTCCAACGAACGCTTGCTGGTGAAAATGTTTACTACTTTACTGCTTAATATACGCAGAAATCGCCGTTACATTCTGGTCGTCCAAAATTTCATTTGCCCAAACGTGAAACCCAGGCGAATACAGAAGCTGAATTTAAATTTTTGAGATCATGCAAAGGCACGGAATATCCGTTTGAAATTTCAGTTCCCAAGCTTTTCTGGTCATTGAGTTGAAAAACCGGGATAAAACTTACTTACTCACACACACACGAACAGAGTCGCGAAAGTATGCGTTTTGCGCAACTGTTACAGAATAAAATGCATGAAAGCTTTTAATACATAAACTCCAAACTCTTTTCAAATGTGCATCACTGTATGGCCAAGTACTGCGAAACTGACTGGAGCCAGAATATCGATTACTTCGCCATGTGCCGTAGCCAGTACGGTACGTCTGAGAGTTATATGCGTTGCGGGCATATTCGCTGCTAGTTTGTGCCCGATGAGCATCGTAATCACGCCTGCTTTCCGCATCTTTAAGCACATCATATGCTTCTTTGATTGCTAGAAATCGTTCCGTGCTGATACTATCTGCTGCATTACCAGTAGCATCAGGATGATACTGCAAATAATTCTTTAAATGGCGTCAAATTTCCTTGAAATCTGTACGAATTACGAAAAGCTGTCAAATGTAATTATAGTAATGAAACAAAAATTTTCGTAAATTATTCCCTACAAAACACGAACTTTTGTTCTGAGGCCAAAAAAAAACTTCTTTGCTTAGAAAACGAAAATATTTTTCGTAATACTCTGTACACAGCAAATCAAAAATATGACTCTGATGCATTGGCGGATCCAGATGGAGGGAGAGGGAGGGAGGAGGGAGTAGCGGGACGATCGAGGGATGGGTCGGGAGCTGCCCAAGGGG